TCATAAAATAAGTTAAGAAGAGCTCCACTTTTTTCTTTGAAGTAATTTATAGAGGGTAGAGATGATTCGTTCTGTGTAATTATGGAAGAACTCGCCTGTTACAGGTTTCAGCCTGACGTGTGAAGGTGTGTGAGTGGAGATTTGGCTTCTAAGTCAATGTCTTCAATGGTTATATGGCTATTCAGAATTTGTAAACCTCTGCAAGTCAATGTTGGTAATTTGTACTTTGTAGGAAACTGTCCATTTTGTCTGTGTATTCAAATTAATTAGAATAATCTATTAACTTTATCTTCTATTTTTTTGAGGAAGATTAGCCCTGAGCTAACATCTGCTGCCAAACCTCGTCTTTTTTGCTGAGGAAGACTGGCCCTGATCTAACATCCATGCCCATCTTCCTCTTCTTTATACGTGGAATGCCTACCACAGCATGGCTTGCCAAGTGGTGCCATGTCCCCACCCAGGATCTGAACTGGAACGTGCGCACTTAACTGCTGTGAGACCGGCCAGACCTTTATTATGTGCTTTTTAAAAACATCTGTCCTCTCAATAACTGTGCCTCCTTTTTACGCCTAACACTCCTTTATCTGTCCCTGTTCCATTTCTTTCTTGCTCAATCATAGCAGTGTTCATCTTTACTCTCAAAGAATAACTTTTGGTTTGTTGATCCTCTCTATGGCTTGTTTCTCTTTTTTTAATGTTCTTCGTAAAACATAAATACAAAAACTATATATAGCATACATGTGAGTTTTAAGAAATAATAAAATGAACACTAAGGTCCTCACCTCCAAAGTTAAGAAATAAAACATTACTATTTTCAAAGTCCCTACATACCTCTCAACCAATTGCATTTTCTTCCCTCCCTCAACCCCCAAAACTCGGGTAACCACTAATGGATGATTTTCATGTCAATCATTTACTTCTCTGCCTCTGCTTAATTTTATGCCTTGTGTAGGTATCCCTAAAGAAGACAGGGGTTTATTTTACCAATTTTTGGCTTTTAAATATATGCAGTCATATGCTAATTGTATGCAAATTGATTTCTTTGCTCAAATTATGTTTGTGAAATTTATCCATGCCAAGCATTCAGCAGTAGAACATTTATTTTCATTGCCGTATAGTACACCCTTGGAAAGAATGTACAATTGATTCATTAATATAATTTTTGAAAGGGATGATATTCAATATAGATTTCAGTTATGTCCTGCTTCTTCAAACTATAAAGTAATTTGATACTATATTTGTGGGGATTGGATATATTACTGAAAATAAAGTAAACAATGTAAAGGCATCATTACATAGCAATGATGAACCAATGCCTTTTAAAGGTATTTTTAAAATAATTTTTGTTTATGTAAGTGCCCAATAAAAAAATACAACATACAAAAAAGATTTTTTTAAAGCTTGATGAATTATGGATTGACTAAGTTATTAAAAAATTCTTTTCATTGAGAACCCTGCAAGGCAACTTTAAATATCTGACTTATAAAACCCACAGTTGCAAGCAATTTTAAATTAAAATGTAACATATTAAGTTTTTTTAAAAAATGATAATATAAAGTATTGTCTACTGTAGTCTGGGAAAAATAAACTGCTTTGTTTCATTTTACAGTACTATCCAAAGTTTATCAATTAGTATGATAGAAAGCTTATCATACAAATCATGAAATCCTGACAGAAAAACCTAATGCCAAAGGAGGAGTGAAACTAGAGGGGTTAGCTGCGACTGTTTCACTTTTGTGCTGTTGTTCCATTTTATAGTGAATACACCAGGCAGACTTTCTAAACTGACACCGTTTTCCTATAGAGGAAAAAGCAGCTACAGATCAGAAATTTATGGAATATCTGAAAAATAAAGGGAATCTTCTTAACTGAGCATAACAGTTATGGAATTTTAAATTCATCATTTCTGCTATGGACACTTGCTGTCTGCGAGATGGAAATATTATTACCTTTCAAACTTTTTCCACTTCAAAGGTACATTGTAAGATTTACCTCTCTGTATTCTCAGTACTTTGACGATTCTACTAAATTTCCTTCTAACCAAACTCCGTCAGACGGGATTCCAGGTAAACGGAAAGTATGATTAACCACAGATCATCACAGATACCATATATGGAATCCCAACTGTCAAGGGGATTACAACAGGACCAAAAAATGTGCTTGGGTTTACATGTGCTTAGTGACTCAGAAGATGCTTCAGGATCTAGGTGCATCTCAACATGAACATCAACCATCTCATTCTAAAAAGGTAGCTGAGAAAGCACTGATCTAAACAGATACTAAAACTTTGACTTTCTTAAGATCATGGTTTTGAAATAAACTAGCTCTCATTTACTTTCTTAATTTGCCTTAACCTTTTTTTCACTAATGCCAAAGATAATAGAAATTATTATACTCTTATTTTTAAAAGATGAATGTCAAATGTCACCAAGATCAAAAAAAAAGTCTGATAAAGGAGTAACATTCTCATTAATTAATGCTATAAAATCTGAAAAGACAGAATCCCCGTTTGTTAACACAGGTTTCAGGTAAAACTCCTGTACTCCAGGGGAAGAAGTATGTTATGCTATAAAGGAAAACACTTTTAACTCCTTTTGAAGAAGAGCCCTTTTAGCAAAATGATAAACTGTGTCCAAGTACATACCATTTATAATATATAATTGATAACAGAATATAATTCCCAAAGTTGATTTGATACAGTGAACAACAGTAAAAACATATTTAACAGGACTTCATTATCTGTAACAGGCCGGAAAAACATGTGAGCAACTGAGCTAATGCAAATTAGTTTTCACCATCCCTGGCAATTTTTGTTACCTTAAGAGGAGAAACATTTTAAGAGACACTCGGTACTTTCAACAACGGTGGAAGGGTCCGAGGTTTATTTTCTAGTTTACCCCTCTCCTTCCTTCCCTTGTTTTCCTTTCCCTTTTTTCCTTTTCTTTGTGTGTGTATGGGGCGGATCATCAGGAACTGTGTTTGATCTCTGATCGCAGCAGTTTAGATTGCACGGGACATGGAGAGGTGGGAAACAGATGCAGATGCAGGAGCAGAAAAGTGCAAATGGGAAGATTCCTCAACCTACAGGACAGCTCAGTGGGAGGGCCAACGTGTTAAAAGTCTCAGTTTAGTCGTTAACGGCTTGTTTTGAAGAGCTCTCATTTCCAACAAGGAGTTGTTTTTGAGAGATCCACTGAGGTATCCATAAAATGAAAACTATGTTTCTAACATGTTATGCCATTAATACTACACTAAAAAAGCTAAGAGTCGTATGAGTCAAAAGGAAATAGACGATGGTCGACAGAGGTCTTACTTTACTCATCTGGACAGAAATTGAAGGTGTTTGTAAACTGGGAATTGCAGATGAAAGAAATTATTCTACATACACTCTGCAGTATTCAAGTCTCCAGATAAACCATTTAATCTAAATTTTAGGAAATCCTTTTCTAAAATAATCCTTAAAAAGCATGTCATATACTAGAGCTGATGCTACCTCTTTGTACATTTACACGTCATCCAGGAGCTCCTTGACTCCCATGCCCTCCCCTCCAGCGAATACGGGAAATCTTGGGGACACAGCACCTCCGCAGTTTTTTCTCCCCATTCTCAAATCCCTTTCGCAGAGAAAACACAAAACTCTAAATTCATACTTTTAACCACAAAAGCTGGAAACGCTTTCAAATATATCATAAAAGAATACACGTTGAGGGCAGTTCCCATTTGTAAAGAGTCATTCCATCAGCTCAGATATTTTGCTGGAACAGTTGCTTGGCAGGTCGACGCGCTCATTTGTACAATTCCTTGTCCATAAATATATCTTATATCATAACTACCAAGCCATTATTCCTAACTCGCTGAGAGGACACAGCTTGGACTCACTCGCCCCGCTGAGGGCGGAGGAGCAGCAAGAATCCGCGCAGCCAGAGTCGACCCACTCCGGAGCCACCTAGGTCCTCCCGCCACCGGACCCCACGCACGTCCTTGGAAGCGGGCGAGTCGCGGGTCCGCGGCTCCTTTCCACAGCACGTCCCGAGAGCAAGTCCGCTCCCGTCTGAAGCTCCACGTGTAATCCGGCCGTCAGTTCCCGATTTTTCCCTTTATAGTCTCTCGGTTCTCGGAGAATTGTCTCTAACTTTGTCTCCAGGCGGATCTCATCCTCCGTCGCAGTTTCCTGGGCACAGAAGACCCCAGGCTGGGCTCTCCGCCTGTGCAGTCCTCCTCGGAGCCGGACAATGTATGATCCAACAGACACCTATCCCACCACCCCACCCATCCTGACTCTACTCGCTCTGTCTCCCCCTACCCACCGCCTCATCACACCACCGACCCCAAGCCCTTATCCAGCCCCCACCCACACCCCCGTGCCTCAGGCACACTCCGTCCCCGGCCAGGTGGCTCGCGGGGGTGGACGGCTTGGGTGAGATGCTGAATAAGCTTTAGTGGAGGCAAAGCTAGAAGCCGTTTTTCAGAGGCAGCTCCACGCCAGGACTCAGGGGCACCGCTCCAACCCCTCCACTCACTAACGTCCCCATCCCAGGTGACCCTGGGGTGGGCGGCAGCCCCTTGAACCCCATCTCACGTCTGTGTTTTGCTCACTCAGGGACCCTGATATATCTGACCAAATACTCTTCCTCCCTCTCCCCCAGACACGCTCCGACCACCATCACTAGCCAGGGGAGGAGCTCGAACCCCAGCCCCCTGCCCGCCCGCGACAGCGCGGCGAAGCCTGAGTGCCACCCGAATTCAAACAATCGAACACGATGTCCCAAACAAAAAGCTCAATCCCGAGTCGTCGTCCAAGATTTGTTTCCTATCCTCACCCCTGCGGGCGCGAATTTGGGCTACTTCCCGTCCCGCAGGATTGAGCTGAAACGCGGACTTCACCTTTGGGGCCGCTTCACCCCTACCGCTCCCCCCGCAGGACCAGGGCGGATCCCCCACTCCCCCAGTCCGGCTCCGGGCGGCGGCCAGCACTGGGCGCGCCCAGGGCTCGCACTCACCACGAGGGTCAGCAGCAGGCTGCAGAGGGCTCCGCGCACGGAGCCCCGGGGCTCGGGGGCGGCCATCGGGGCGAGCGGCCGGGGAGGGAGGAGGCGGAGTGCCGAGAGGCGCGAGCCCGGGCAGGCGCAGGGCGCGGAGGAGCGCGTCTCGCCGCTGCTCGTCTTTAAGTCGTCTTGGCCTCTCTCACGCTTGCCTGCCCGGGAGCGTGTTCGCTCCTGAGACCGGATTGGACCCAGGAGACGCCGAGACGCCCCTCCTTGTTATTTCTTCAGTTTTATCACTCTGGGAGCCGCTGGGGAGCTGCCTGAGCCTGCCCCTCCCCTCGCTGGCAGCCGCGCCCCGCTCTCGCTCGCAGGAAAGCGGTCCCCGGCCCCTGTCTGCGCGCTCTCCCACGCCCCTCGCTGCCCCGCGGCGCGCGCCCCGCCCTCCCGCCGCGCGCCCTGGCCGCCCCGCTCGGCCCGCCGCGTCGGCAGCCCGAGTTCCCACTGCAGAGCGCAGATGTGCCTGCGGGGATCCCTGCCCCAACACGGGCGCTCCTGGTGCCAGGAACACCTCGTGATTGGATCAGCGGATCCTCCCTTCCAGTCCTGATCAAAGTCAGGGCAAAGTCTCCTGGTTTATACAAAATATACGTATTCTTCCCAAATTTGACCAACATGAGAAGATAAACAACGGAGGGAAGATTATGCCAAGTGGCATGAATAAATTGGCATTTGATATACTAGAAACTAAAATAAGGTAAAAGAAATTCTGAAATTGACCATTTTTACACACCCAAAATAGGAGTGATTACACCCACAGGTGTTTTTTACTGTCAATCTTGTGGCCTTATATGAGCCTTCTAAGAAATAATTTGTTCTTACGGGTAAAGTATTGATTTAGTAGTTATTTGGTAATTGTACTGAGTTGCAGTTTTTCAGTTTGTGGTAAAAGGGAAATCTACCACCCAAAACTCTACTCAGAAATGAGGCTAACAAATTCAATATCATTCAACAAACAAGTATAGGGCCCTGAGTAGACCAGGCTCTGTGTGAGAGGCTGGGGGAAGAGAAAAGCACAAAACCCAGTTCCTGCCCTAAGCAGTTCAAAGTCTAAGAGAGAATAAGGGCCAATCATCACAGCCCAGGATGCTGAACTTTTTAATAGAGAGGTGGCTTACAACACAAGGGCACAGTCCATTAATCCTCTCTGCGTTGAATTTCGTGTCTGCTAAGCCCCTACATATGAGATTCAGGAGGAATTCCTTCTTAGATATGTGCTGCTGCTCCTCAAAATCCAGGCACAAATTCCAAGGTCAGGACCCTCAGATAGTCCAGATGAATCAGGGAAGGTGCTATGATCTGTGCTCATCTCGCCCAGCCCAGCAGACTCCTTTTTTAAGCCATGTGTTTCCCTAAAGACTGGGCTTCCCTGAAACTCACAGGCCTCAGCTCTTAGGACTCAGTCACTGAATATAGCTCCCCAGTCCCATCTCTGAGACATCCAGGACCTGAGTGAGAGATCCTGTCCCATCCTGGAGGGGTCTCTATGGAAGAGCCCTTCTCATCTCAGAGAAAGCTCTCCAAACTTCTCCCCTCTCTAACTCTTTTCACCTCCCATCCTCCAAACTTTCACGTTCACTGGTGACCTCAGGGAAAGCCTCTCAAAGTCACCTCTGGCCACAGCCAGCCTTTAGAAATGCAAGTGGATCCTGGCTTTCCGATAACATAGAGATTGTGTCCCCTCAAATGTTCATATGCTGAAGCCCTACCCCCTAATAGGACTGTATCTGGAGACAGTGCCTATAAGGAAGTAATTAAAGTTAAATGAGGTTATAATGATGGAGCCCTGATCAGATGGAATCAGAGTCCTTATAACAAGAGACACCAAAGGACTCTGTCTCTCAATCTCTCTCTCCGTCTCTTCCCACCATGTGTGGAGACACAGCAAGAAGGCTGATGTCTACAAGCCGGGAGGAGAGCTCTCACCAGAAGCTAAATCTGCCAGCACCCTGATTTGAGACTTTCAGCCTCCTGAACTATGAGAAATAAATGTCTGTTTAAGCCGCCAGTCTGTGGTGGGCAGCCAGAGCTGACTAATACAGATGAGGAAGAAAGATGCAAACACTAACTCCTGCCCCCCACACCTAATTCACTGCTAGACGAGTAGGAAAGGGTGGAGTGTTAAGACATTTTAGAGGATCCCAGTCATCTGAAGTTTGCAGAAGCAAAATGCTGGAGGTAAGAACCCACAGAGAAAAGGGGAAGGGGGAGGGGAAGTGCGAGTTCTGGGCTAAAGCAACAGCACTAGCGAAGCTCTCGAGAGTCTTGTGAGGGCCTCCTGCACAAGGAAACAGAAATAGTTCTTTCAGAACCGCTGGAGGAAGAGCTCCCATGGCTGGGATCAGGTGAGAAAGACGGACTGGTGACAAACCAGGCTGAGGATGTGAATTTCACCCTGAAAGAGATGGGGAACCACCCACTCAATCTGTAAAAAGAGTTACTAACTCCAGTTAAGAATTGTCACTTATTGAATCATTAACTTCATTAGCAAATGTGTTTATGCCCTGATATGGCTTTCCCTTAATGCTCAGGGAATAAAAATCTTCAAAGTGTTTTTCTTTAAGTAGTCCTAGTTTTTCAGTGATTTCAACTTTGTCTACTAGAGTCTGACCTGACTATTGCTGTCTCCCAAGTGACTAAAACTGTTAAGAGCTATTATCTGGTTGTTCCAGCCTGGCTATGTAATTGAGGAGATTGTTAAGCCTACTGGCTGTATGACAGTTACTCTGAGCCTCCATTTTTAGCTTCTACAAAATAAAAGTTATACGAACCTAGTCCAGAAATACTGTAAGAAAGCATATTGGGTATATTTTCAATTTGTAATACAAAATTCTAGGTGCAATATGAAAACTGAATAATAATTGGATGTAGTATTAGTAACTATCTTGGAATTTCCTGTTTGCTATAACATATACTTGTCCATCATGAGTATATTAGTCCAAGTCTTAATAAAAAGCAATGCATTTTTTAAATTTAGAGAAGAATCTTTATAGGCAGTTAAAACATAAATATGACTTGGAGATAAATTAAATATGAGCTTCACTTTGAATATTTTAAAAACTGGATGCCTTCTATAATAAAATTAATTTTAAATTATCGTGAGGCATCATAAAGCTTAAAGGGTTATTCTGAAATGTCTTTATTTTAATACCCTATTGCCCAAATTGCAAAGTCAGTTGGAAGTCATTACTAAAGGATAACATACAAAACTGGGAAAGAAACTTATTATTTTTCCCTTGTTATTTTCTTACTTTGAAGAGTAAGAGAAGCAATAATAAAGGATTAAAAAAGACAAATGATTTTAAGCTAAAGTACAAAACTTCAGGAATCCAAGTGAATTATAAAATTTTCAGTAGAAAGCAAAAACATGAGATCATTAAGAAGAGTTCTCTGTACCTAGGAGGAATCTGGCCACAGAAAGGGTAATGACCTGAGGAGGAGGGAGCTGACTCCTGGCCCACTGAGAAGGCTACCTTGCACAACTCAGTGCCAACAGGTGCTGGTCCCACACACCTACTCACCTCCGTGGCTTACATGGGAGGCGACACGCCAGTGTGGGTCTCCTGAAACACGTCTATAAAATCCAACCAGAACAACGGTTATGATGCTTGGCGCAAATTTGCTAGTAAGGGAAGAGAAATTTATGAAAAACTTAAATTAAAACCAAGTAAAAGATTGTCATTTTTTTTTTTTTTTTGAGGAAGATCAGCCCTCAGCTAACAGCTACTGCCAATCCTCTTCTTTTTGCTGAAGAAGATTGGCCCTGAGCTAACATCCATGCCCATCTTCCTCCATTTTAAATGTGGGATGCCTACCACAGCATGGCTTGCCAAGCAGTGCCGTGCCTGCACCCGGGATCCGGGCCAGCGAACCCCGGGCCGCTGAAGCGGAATGCGGAATGTGCGCGCTTAACCACTGTGCCACCAGGCCAGCCCCAAAAGATTGGTTTTGAATAGTCCTTTTGTGACATAAAATGAGTTCTGCCATGAGATGTTAGCTCAGAAGCACTTTTAGAATATTATTTTGGATAATAGTCACAGTAATAAACAGTAATTGACCAAATTACTTATTGGAGCAACGGGGAGGAATACTATACAAATAGGTACTCAAATGCCAGGAGCCCTCATGGACTTATCTAGAAATTAGCTCCCCTTAAATGCGCTTGCTCTTCTAGAGAGGCCTCTTCCCTCATGCCTGGGAACCCGGGGGTTGAGGGCAGATTCTGTCACTCCCACCTCAATCTTCCTCCATGAGTAAACACTCCTGCTACTGCCACTCTGGCCACCGGGAGCACTGCTCTTCCTGTACCACCTTTCCCAAAATGTGACTAGAGGCCCTGCATTAATTTCCCAGAGTACCGCTGAGAACAGCCATGATATTTTTGTCATTTAAAAAGGCTACTGGAGAATTGAGGATAGCAGCAAGTTGACAACAAGAGTAACCTATGCTATTTCATTGCTGCCCAGACGAGAGCCCTCCCAGAATCCCTGTCTGCGTCCCTCCTCCCTGTCTTCCCAGGGCAAGCAGCCATCTGAGCTCTAATTCCACTCCCGTAGAAATGCTCAGGCAGCAAAGGGAGCCTCAAGTCTGGACCAAAAATGACTCCTGGGGCTTCCCAAGGAAGAGAAGCTTCTCCTTCCCCCGATTCGGTGCTGGGTTTCTCAGGTCTCATATGACAACCGTCCAGTCTGGCTAGGGTGTGACAGGTTCAGAAAGGTTCCGTTTCAGTCTCTCCTTACTCAGTAATGATTCAAGAGCTGTTACAATGATTTAACTCCTCCTCCAATAAAGTCTTCAGATGCCCTTACAAATGTCCTCTCTTCTGCAAACAGGACTTTTAAGAAAAGGAGAGGAGTCTCCTGGCGACTTCTCACCAGGCTGGGAGGAAGGATGATTTTTATACGGAAAACAAAACCCCATTGTGTGAGCGATCACTTCTTAAAGTAACAGGGCAACAGCAGTGTAACAAAGCCCTGATTTGGGTGGATTTTTAGTTCCTTTCATCTTGGAATCATCCCATAATCCTTCACTTCAGTTTCCTTCAAAGTGAACATCTCCTCCCACTGGGTGAGGCTGTAGTTTCTCCTGGACATCCTCATGTCCCCAGGGGCTCATTGTGTGCATGTGTCTGTTCAAAGGGCATTGCTCAAGCATGAAGGCTACAGGTGTGAGTGGGCTGACTTCCAGATCCCATGTGTCATTTATCCCCACGTCATTCTCTGATTCACCGCCATATCAGCTTTCTTTTTTCCCAGAAGTTTAGGAGGACCATCCTTCAACTTCGGGTGGGGACGTATTGTATATCCCCCAGCTCAAAGTAGAGAAGCAGCTTTT